GAGTGGGGCTTCTTCACATCACGCCGCACACACAGAGTGGGTGCTTTGCTAGTGACCAGATGCACACTGCCTGGGGACACGGAGCCAGGGCCATGGCTCCTGCAGTGAACTTACGTTCTTTGCTTTTAGGTTTCCCAAATCAACTCAGACTAGTTTAAGTAAAACAGGACAGAAAGTATTTCACAAGATAACAGGAGCATATTATTAAATCCAAAGCATATTATTAATTTCCAAATCTGGAAATTTCCCAGAGGAAAATGGTGCCAAAAGCTGGAAACCAGAGGGTCATTCTGTCCTTCACATCTCTTCTCAGCCTCTTGCTTCTTTCCTGCTCTCCTCTAACTGGCTTGTTCCTTCTGAACCCTCTCGTTATGTACAAATCGACCTCAACTCCTCCACCTGACTCGGCTTCTCAGGGTTCATGCCAGCCAAGAAGACAATGGCTAGTTTTAAATCCACACTTGAAACCCTGGAGCAGACCTCAAGCAGAGAGGAGAGGGGTCTGGGGAAGAGTGTGATCCCTGGGTTTTGAGGGAGTTGGGTCATTTTCTGGGGTGCTTCTTGCAAGGCTGCTCTTCCCCGCTGGAACACTGGGTCGGGTGGCAAGTCCACTTGCAAAGATATCCTCAAAGTGTTTTGGTATCTGCCATTAAGTTGCTGGCAGTTCTTGTATTTGAGACTTATTTATTGGTCCCTTAATATTTATTAAGTGCCTGTGGGAATTTTTGACACTCAAAATGATGCGTTGAACTTTCCCAAAAAAGTGTCCAGTGTAGAAAGCTCATCTCAAAATGGCCTGTGGGTTCAGTGAGTGTTCAGAAAGACAGCCGTTACCTCCGGATGCTGAGACATTGTTCTCAGACCCAGCGACGGGTAAGATGCAAATGCTTGATTTTAAATTCTGCTGCTGACTTGAATGGCCATGTTTTCACAGAGATATGTTGTGAAATTTCTTCTGAGATGATCAGGTCATAGCGCTGTTGCTCTGGGGAATTTATGGAACCACCTGATACCTTTAAAACATTCTATCAAAGTGGATCTCAGTTTGCCTGAGCTCTGAAAGTAAGAATAATGTATTTGGAATGGATTGCATAATAGAATCTACCAGTCACAGTCATTTAAGCTGTGGAACCTTAAAATAAATTGAGCCCTGGTGTTTGCAGGTAATTAACTTGCAAGTAAAAGTTATCCAGAAGAAACTTTAACAGATAGATGCTGGAGTCAATAATTCAACTGATTTTTATTTTGGGGTTTTTATAGGATTAATGGAGCAAGAGTTCAGTCTCCGAACAGAGTTTTGTAGACAATGGGCAGAGGGTTGGGAGCTACCTTAGGAATGAGGTGGATCAAATGCTGCAGTTCAAGCACTCCAGCAGAATGTAAAGTCGGGCTGTGTGAAATAGTCACCTTCAGGAGTCTCGGATTTGTATGAAGAAGGACGGTGGATCCCGCATAGATCCCTAAGGCCTGTACAGAATCGGGTGGAGGGCCCAGGCGGGCAGGCCGGGGCACCTGCTAGAACACAGAGGGAGAAGGAAAGGAGCTGCAGCAGAGGCACCCTGAGTCCTCCTGCTTGGGGGCTTTGGGGAATGCATATCCGCTCCTCTTCCACCAAATGGTGACGACGCATAATTAACGCCCAGTCCTCCAAAGATGGGCTGGCCGGCCATGCTTAACTTCTAATTAATCAGCAGGGTTTTAGGGGGGCCTCTTGACACCCCTCACATCTCCCCTGCCCACACAGCGTGGATACCTTAGTCTCTGGGAAGCCACGCCTCAGCCCACCCACCCTGCCTCGTCCCATATTCATACCACAGAGCCAGTGTTAACTGGCGTCTTGTCCCAGGTCCCTCATCCATCCTCCAGGTCCACAACAAGCAAGGCAACAGTAGTGAGGGAATCTCAGCCGTGGGAAGCGCCCCCTGCTGCACAGCACCACGCTGTACGGACGGTGCGTTAGGATCTCCTCGGCCAACAGATACTGTTCATGTCAGCTTCCTGTGTGAGGCCGAACCCACTGCTAATTTATGCACAGCCTCTGAATTTTTTAAACTGTCACCTTTTCTAGTTACATCCTAGAAAAGGCCTCTTTCCACGGCAGGAGGCAGAAACAATTTGCTAGTCCTCATCTACTTCTGAAGGCTGCCAAACAGAAGGGGCGATAGATTGGTGGGGCGGTACGCTACTGTGAAAAACAGTCAGCTGGCTTCCTCCTGCCTGCTGAGAGGGCCATCTGGTTGACCCCTCTGCCTTCAACTAAGGGAAATAAAATGAGCTGCCCCTTGGTGGCTGGCACTGCAATCTCTTCTGTGCACCTGCCACCTCCCACCATGGAGACGCCTCCCGCATCCCCAGCTCCCTGCACTGTGGTCTTCTTCCATTTACTGTGAGGTCAACTACTTCACTTCTGCTCAGCGCAGCTCCTTCTGTCCCTTTAGCTGGGCAGCTGCACTTTCCTTCCATGAAATCGGCAAGTCACGCAGTGGGTACTCAGGACAACCAGTGGGCAAACCTGCTACGTGAGAACAGCTCCCCTTTATGGTGGACTCGTGGCTGTTACCCGCGTCACCCTTCTCCAGGGACCTAGCAAAAGTGAAGACTCTGACTTCACCTTGTTAGGGCAGAGGGGGCCCGGAAAGGGAGACAGAGGGGTGTGATTAGTCTACACCCTTGTCTTCCTTTTTAATTGTAAGGAATTTAATACACTTATGAGTTCTTTCCACATTGGGTGTCAAATGTTCCTAAAACATGATTTAGTATTGATAGCAACAAATAATAAAGCAATCTCTGATGCTCTGAGAGCTTTATAAGTTTTTTTTTATTAAAAAAACTGGAGTTGAACTCAGGACCTTGTGCTTGCAAGGCAGGTGCTGTGCTGCTGAGCTACATCCCCAGCCCTGTAAGTGTGCTCTCAAATATATTTACACCTAATCCCCAGTATTACCCAAGCTCTGAGCATGGGAGTCCCACTCCTGCCTCCTCACAGCTTTCACTTTCTGTGGTTCTTAAAATCATCTCCATCCTATGGTCTGCATTTGAACCTGTGCCCCTCCTCAGAAGCCACAAAGTATGGGTGATGATCCAGGGGAATTAGGAGAAAGGGACCCTCAGGCCAGAAGAGATGGGGCAGCATTTAACAGAGTAGAGGGAGCGCAGGCCCAGGACCTGGTGCAAGTGTACAGGTTCTACTCGCTGTAACTGGGGAGGAAAATAACACAGCAAGCAAGGAGTCGTCCTCACACTGGTTCACAGTGCACCGCCCTGAGTTACCTTAACCTGTCCTTCCATTTCAGGTGTACAAGTGGCACATAAAATACCAAGCTGTAACCACAGATGACTAAGATGATAATACTCTCTAAAGATGAAATTTATATTCAGAAAATATAATTTAAGGAAAGGTATCATTTATTTTAGTTTGTTTCTTGTTTTCTGTTTGCCTGAGTTAAAATTAGGCATATGTCACATGGACGTCACAAAGGACAGCAGGTCACCCTATGTGTGTCAGTTTACACCCTCTTTGCTAAAGGAGTGACCACCAGGGTCCCTACTGGGTGCCCTGTTCACTTCCTGGTGACGCCATCCATTCTGCCCTTGGGCAGTATGAACAGTATGAGTTTCACTGATTTATTTCCACCTCTGTGAAAATTCTGTTTTGGGTCCTGTACTGCCTTCTCCAGCTGCACAGAGTAAATCGTCTTCCTCTTCTATGGGGTGCCTTTCATAGGTGGAAATTCTAAAGCTTTGATATTTGAGGCTGAACACTTCCTTCCACATCATTCATAAGACCAGTTCTACAAATGTCTTTTGTCTCTCAGTCATCTTTCTAGACTCGCTCTCTCTATCACTCTCCGTGACAGTATCCAGTCTTGTCCTGTCTGTCATATTGTGGGTGTGTCTGGACCGGAGAGGGTGTCACCCTTATTTTCATCGGAAGCAGTCTGATACAGGCTAGTGGACTTTCGCTCATGGATGAAGATCTATCTATGCATTTCTTTATACACTTTCTGAGATCATCACTGTTCTACTTGCTGGTGGCTTGGGCTGTGTGTCGTAATTATGGGCACTAGACAGGAAAGACTCTCAGATCTTTACGTATGCAGAAGTTCCATTTGCAGTGTGACCACATGCCCTTAGCTGCTTCTGTAAAATTTGTTTCTGTATGACTACTAATAAATACTACTAATATACTATCATCTTTATTACTTATAATTATTAATATTGCTCCCTTTGCCTCTCAAAGAATCCCAGGTTGGACTATAAATTATATGATCATCCTAATGGGAGGGAACTGCAAATCTGATCTCTGCAGCCAGCTTACTGGCTTATGTTTGCAGACTTCATCACCCTTCCACACCCATCAGCAGTGTCTGCAGAGCCCTCTCCCACCCTCAGCCTTGCTGCATTGTGGGCTGGCACCGTGGAGAGCACTCAGTCTAGGACAGGGACAGGGAGCTGCCCTGGGAAGAGAGAGCTGGGAACCCAGAAACCTTGTACAGGAGCTATGAGAGGAGGAAGAGGCTTATAGGGAGGAGATGCGCAGAAATCCATTAACACTGGTCCTTGGTAACACTGGTCATTAACTTGGTACCCTGAATTAGAAGATGTAGCCTGGATGGGAAGGAAGGGAAGGGAGAGAAGATGGAAAATCTCAGCGCTCTCGGTCGGGTCCACGGGGAACAGGCTGGGGTGAGAAATGACACGCCGTAAGCACCCCAGGCTTCATGGTCTCATTTACTTGTCACGGGGAGGAGAGCACCGGGTTGGCACAGAGCTCTCCACATAGCAAAGCACTAGGTTCTTTGGAGCCAGAGTCTCACCTTGGTCCCGGGGAGAGGCAGCCCTGCAGGTAGAAAGTCACGGAAAGTCACTGGCATTGCTCAAAGGGGTGGGAAGATGCCTCTTCGTGCGTCTTGGTTCTTGGCTTAAACTGCAGATGTTTGCTGGGGTGGGTTTGACTTCCTTTTTAGCTCACTAGGTTCTATCTCTGTGGTTGTTCTCAGGAGCTGGTCGGGAGTAATCCGCCACAGAGGAACTGGAAGGGCATCGCGATTGCACTGCTGGTCATTCTGGTCATCTGCTCCTTGATCATCACCTCGGTCATCCTGCTGACACCAGGTACCTGAGCTGTTCTCAGAAAGCCCATCACCTCCAGGGAGAAAGAGCACAGCTCCACGTGAGATGCTGTCTAAGTAACAGGGCGCAGTTTTACTTTGTGATGTTTCCTAAGTAACTACCATTGCATAATTTGGCTTTCCCTTGTTGTTCCTTCCCTCGTTCTACTTCATCTGTGCCATATGATAAAATAATGTAATATGCTTTCAATGAAAGAAAACATCCATATCACATGCTTTGAATTTCTTTATGTTATTGTTAACTAGGTGAGAAAGTTTGGCATATATTAAAATTCAAAATAACTTATTCATGCTTGATGAACTTAAAAGCAGTGACATTATAAATATAGTAAATATATATGAACATAACAGAATTATGGAGTGTTATAAGAGGAATTTTTAAAAAGCCAGATATGGTGACACAGTACTGCAATCTTAGCACTCTGGGAGGCAAAGGCAGGAGGCTCACAAGGATGAGAACAGCCTGGGCAACTTGACGACTTAGGTACACTCTGTCTCAAAATGAAAACTAAAAAGGGATGAGGCTATCTCTCAGTACAAAGACCTTAGAGTCAATTAATAACAACAAAAACCTATTAAAAGAGCATATAGAGTGTGAACCCAGGACACCGTACTTACTTGATACTGCTGATGAAGAGGAGTACAAGCCAGAGTCTGCAGTCGCTCAGGGAGAAAAAGGCACGTGGAAATCTGTAGCAAAGGCCTCCTCTCTGGGATCTGGGAGATCCCAGGGAAAATTCTTCAGGGGATTTGTGGACAAAGCGGTCCTTCATGAGGACTCTCATGGAGACAGCAATCTTCGAGGTGGCTTCACAGAGTGGAAAGAATGACACCCAGCGCAGAGAAGCAGGGAGAGAAGGAAGCTTTTATCTATCACATAACCGTGCAGGAGTTTTCATAGGAAAACATCATGGCCATAGCTAGCAGTGCCTGTCTGTTTTATCTATTCCTGTGATCATCTTAGATGCCTGTATGTGCGTGCAAAACCCAAACTTTCAGTCCTCAATAAACAGATTACACAGATATCATTTGCCTTTAAGATAGAAAAAAAAGAGAGTGTGGTAATTCCTCAAAAAGGTAAACAAAGAGTTATCGTATTACCTTGTAATTCTATTTCTACATATATATGACAAGAAAACCGAAAACATGTTTATATGGAAACCTCTGTATGAAGCTCATATAGCTATTTATAGTAGACCAAGAGTAGAAATCACTTAAATATCCATCAGCTAGTAAATGCATGCTGTGTTTTGTATCTAGATGTCCCCCGCAAAGCCTCATGCTCTCTTAGGTGGGTTTTTTGTGAGCTTGCTGGACCTAGGACAGTGATGGTGAACCTTTTAGAGACATGAGCCCAAACTCCAACCTAAAACCCACTTACTTATCACAAAGTGCCAACACTACAATTAAAACTGAATACTGAGGTTTTAGTTCAGAAAATACAATTTATTACACTAACATCTTTTGTCTGAAAAGAAAAACAAGTAATACATGTGCTGCAGATTCACCATCACTGATCGAAGGTATGTGATACTGGGATTAAGGGTGTGTGGCACTAAGTTAGTCCACAGATTGGAATTAGCGTAGTTCTGAGTGTGGCTCAGTGGATTTACTGAAGACAGAAGCCCCAGCTGGGTGTGGGCGGCACCAACCAAAAGGCATGTAACCTGGACAGGATGAAAGGGAGAGGCAGGCTTGCTCTTTGCAGCTTGTTCTTCCTGCCTACCACACCGTGGACTATCTCTCCTCTGTGATGCCCCTCTGCCATGCCACCCTGCCTTGGAGCCAGCTGTGTGTCAGCTGAAAACTCTATAAACTGTGAGCAGAAATAAGTTGTTCCTCCCTTAACTTGTGGGTTTTTGGTGTTCTGTCCCAGTCACGAAAACATTGGACAAATTGACTAAAACAATGAACAAATAACTGAGGTCTGTCCATTCAATGGTATATTCCTCAACTATAAAGAAAAAGGAAGTACTTCCAAATGCTACAACATGGACAAATCTTGAAAACACCATCTAAGTGAAAGAAACCCAGCACAAAAGTCCACAGATTGGATGAACTCAGGATAGGCAAACCATAGAGACAGAAATCACATTAGCATTTGCCAGGAGCTGGAAATTGGGAGAAAAAGCAATGCCTTTTAGTAGGTATGAAAGCCTTTTGGGGGTGATGATACTATTCTGGAATTTGACAGTAGTGACAGATGCATATTTGTTAATATATTTTTAAAAAGTACCGAGTGGCAGACATTAAGAAGATAAACTTTATGGTATTTAAATTTTGCCCCAATTAAGCTGCTAGTTTAAAAATGACAGCAAAGTTATAAAAAAAAATAATAATCTGGCCCTTCCTATGTGAAAATGCATAAAACTTGCCTAACATTGAAGAGGTTTCAGCAGAAGTTCTGCAAAATAGTGTTGTATGGTTCTTCTTGTTGGAGCCTCTCAGAAGCTCAGAGCTACTGGAAGGCGGGACTTTGGGATATAACGCAGTACATCCCACATCCCACTGGGCAGGACAGGGGCCCCTGCAGTGGTTCAGAGCTGAGTGAGAGTTGAGAGGGACTGAGAAGGATTAGTAAAGACAAATACTTGTTTTGTTTGGAGGCTGTGCTACTGCTGATCTTACACCGCAGGGAACCTTAGCAACAGCATATTATAATTCCTCTAAAGGAAATCAGGTATCCCTCAGGACCTGGGGAGCCTGTTCCTGCCTTGACTTTTCTCAGAGCACAGTTCTGCTTTATGTAAGCAAATTATTTGGCTCTGTGATCCTCTCTCACTCCTCTTGGGACTTAGACCGCAGCGATGTGTTTTGTAGCTTGCAGTTTCTGCCACATTCCCAAAGCCCATGCAAACATGTGTGTTCCCAGTATCTGAGGGCTCTCACTAGCACTGCACCAAACAGCTGCCGGGAGCTGCCCGCACAGGGATAGTGGGTGTACGGATGTCTGGATGAGTGGCTCCAGGCCACCTAAGAAGCAGCTCTCCAGGTGGACACCGCTGGTGTCTGGCATTTCACCACATGGGACTGTGGCCACTCCTGTCCCCTCCAGTGTGACAGAAGGCACTTTGCATTCAGTCCTTTGGGTGCAGTAAGATCCACCAGCCCAGAGCACTAAGTGGAGAGCACAGTCACTGTCACTGCCAACTGATCACCTTGCTGGGTGCTGCATGATGCTGATGCCGGTCGTCAGGGGCAACAGGGAGCTGGAGGCCAGTGCAACAGTGAGATCCAGTGAATCTCTGAATTCCAGAAGGACTTTGAAGAGCAGAATTTTCTTTCATTCTTCTTTTAAAGTAAACATGTTGCTGACCCTTGCTTGCTGCTTTGGTTTTGTGAGGCTTCTGTGGATGGTACTCATTTCCAGGGGCCATGAGCCCTGGGCTCCGGCCTGCCCCCTGTGAGGCTCAGCAGCTCCTCCCATCATGGGCTCTCTGTGTCACTTTCCTGTCAACCAGCGGTGGCTTTTGCTTTGACATTCAAAATTATGTCAGGCAGAGGAGGATGTCAGACCATCCAACCTTCCACCGGCCCCAGATGTTTCTTAAATGCAGTAACATGCAGGGCATTGTTGTGCCAGCCGATCTTACCTACCCATCGACCCAGCATTAGTGATGCCCTGTTGGGAACTGAGAACACCTTGCTGGGTGCTGCATGAAGTATAGAAAAAGAAGAGAGGAGGGTTCTCCATGGAGCCGAGGGCAAGGAGATTCCACAGCACTGTAAGCACAAAGCAGAAATGAAGTCACAAGGCAGGGCATGACTGCAGCCTGTAGCCACTGATAGATAACTGGAGCGCTGGTCTAGCAGACACAAATGGTAGACACAGATGGTAGGCATGGTGCCCACCAGCGAGGGACCACTTCTAGCCTCAGCGAGCGGACAGGAACACTGTGGAAACACTTGCACACAGTCTTGGGTGCGTTCTGTAACTCTGGCTTCATTTTGATAGACTTAATGTAAATTGTATGTGCTTTAAAAAAAAAAAGACCAGGAATTTTCCTAATACTGCCAATTTGCATTCCTGTATTCTGAAACTGAGACCAAGTCTGTTTTCTACTTACCCAAAGACTCCATCCTGAACTCAGTGGATTCATCTTTTTCTGAGCCCCTTCCTGGGACACACAGCCCCTCCCGGCGTGGTGAGCAGACTCATACAGGATGCAGGGCTTGGGCTGGAAGGGTCTGTGGCAACCATTCTGAGCAATGAGGCTTTTTGTTCTGTAATACAGTCTAGTTATCAGCGTTACGCACAATTTATGTTTTTGAAATCAGATTAAAAGTGTTTAAGGCAATCTTAGTTCTGAAGGGATTCACCAAATGAGAATGTGTCCTTTTCAGCTTGGTCTTTCATTTCTCCCTTGCCGGGCTGTGGTCTTTCCTCAATTTCTCTTTGGAATAATTGGCCCAGGGTTACGTGTCATAAAGTTTTCAGATGTTCAGTGTGTGTGTGCCTCTTCTGGCAGCCGAAGCCCTCGCACACTGATGAGAGGACTCTGCTCTCTGGAAGTAGCACCATCACCATTGGGGCATCTGAACTACAGCAGGGTCATCTTGGCATTAGAACAGCTGTGACATTTTTAATTAATTTTAAAGAGAATAATAATAAAAAAGAACAATAGCAAAATACCAACAGCATAGACAAAAATGAGGTAAAGCAAAAATAATAAGAACGATACAGGGTTTCTGAGCAAAATGATAGGGATTAACAGTGGTTGTTAGATTACATATTGTTATCTTCAACAAAGCTGCTCTGATTACCAAATGTAAGAATGGAAGATTGAGCAAACCATTAAAGAGAATAAAACATAAAAAAAAAAAATAGAAATGATACAGAGCTTTCTGATACAGAAAGTCATACTGGAGATGGACCTCAGAGTAATGCCAAGCGCAGATCAAGTACCAGACTCACTGGTCTTTGGGCTCAAACATAACACAGAAGTTATTTTACAGAACTGAAATGTCACCACTGATTCATAC